GCGCTCCGGCCACGGGAGAGAGCAGGCGTACGTAGTGTACTACGCCCACAACGACGGCGGCTACTACGAGGATCACGGCGACTACGACGACGGCTACTACTACTACGATGGCTACCACGACTCGGGGTACGCCCACTACGTCGAAGCGGGCACCGGAGACAGCTACAGCTACTCTGAGGGGTATGAAGGCAGCCGTACGTCTGACGGCGGCATTCACTACGTTTACTACCCTCCTGCCGGCGAAAATTCGTCCTCAACAGAGCAGCCACGTCAGCCCCCCCCGAGCAGCAGCAGCACCGCTTCCCCCTCGCCCTCTACTCCTGCTCCTGGACCGCCTCCATCTTCGGGTTACCTCCACCTTTGCACGGCACAATCTGTGCCTCTAGGCACTTCTCACCGCGATAGGATAGATGTGACGATTGGAGTGGAGTCTGTTTCGAGTGCTTCATCTTTGCTGAGTGTAGAGTCGAGTGAAGGGCCGCCTGGTAGCGAGAAGTGGGTAGCAGAGTCTGGAGCAAGCAACAGCTTCACCAACAGCGAGTTGCACATGTACGACTTGCAGGAGATCCCCTCGAATAGGCTGTCATTGTAGGAGATGGTCGTCTGCTGAAGGTGAAAGCAATCGGTACCATCAACCTCAGCTTTATTCAGGAGGGTGATAACGGTGTGCCAACGACGATGTATGTGAAGCTGACTGACGTGTCTGTGGTAGAGTGTCTGAGTTTCAACTTGTTTTCGACTCATGCTGTTTCTCTTCGGCAACGAATAATCCATGACGAGCGTGGCGTGACCCTGCGTAACGGACTGCTGTTTGCTAGAGGGGAGAAAGCCTCTGCCGCCTATGCAATGCGCATGCCTTACGACCCGTCTGCGATTGTGGTAGACTCTGCTGCTTTTCCTGCCTTCGTGAAATCCCCCGATTCCACCCCCGCTGATGGTCCAACTTCCCCTTTCCCCGACGAGAGCTCCGTGGAATCATTGGTGTCTGTTTTGCGTGCACCGCCCGCTGGCTCTGCTAGCATTGTACCTCCGACTGACAGCGTCCCGCCCACTGGTCTCGCCAGTGTAGTCCCTGTGCATGACAGCGTCCAGCCCACTGGTCCCTCCAGTGTAGTTCCTGAGCACGACAGCGTCCCGCCCACTGGTCTCGCCAGTGTAGTCCCTGTGCATGACAGCGTCCAGCCCACTGGTCCCTCCAGTGTAGTTCCTGAGCACGACAGCGTCCCGCCCACTGGTCTCGCCAGTGTAGTCCCTGTGCATGACAGCGTCCAGCCCACTGGTCCCTCCAGTGTAGTTCCTGAGCACGACAGCGTCCCGCCCGCCGGTCCTACCGACGTCGTACCTCTTTCGGCGTCCGGTTTTGAGTGTGTGTGTGCTTTCCCGGGTATGGACCTAGGCGATACGAGTGTGTTCACCGACGAGCTGCTCATGGACGGGTATGACAAAACCCCGTACCAAGATTTTTTCCCCGCGTTCATGCCAGAGAATGAAGCTGCGATCGCGGTTGGTGTTATGGATGGAATTTATGGTGTTGGTTTTGACGTGGGTGTGGCTGCTCTTGGTCCTGGTGCGTCCCCGTTTTCCATTGGTTCGACCGATAAGTCCGTCGACATCAACCGCTTCCACC